TTAAAAATTATATCAAAGTAAATATTTTTATGTATAAAATAAAATTTTAAAATTATATATATAATGTCGGGTTGGTTTTTTTTAGTTAAAACCAAATCAACCCAAATATAGTCGGGTTTTTTTCCCGATTTGACTCGATTTGAGATTTGGTTCGATTTTCGGTTTTCGGTTCGATTTTGTACACCCCTAATCATCACTGAAGAATTACTTACATGTTACACCATGTAATCGTAGTCACAAGTTATAGCAGATAATTTATCTTAATTTTGAAATTATAAATCTCACATATTTTAAACTCATATTGAACTTCCATTAAAATAAACAATTTTGGCTTTATGCAAATCCGCATGTGCAATTCCACTAATTATCTTGCTCATATGATCCAAAACAAGGATTAGACATAAGATAAGAACAAAATCCATAAATAAATCTTGGTATATATATTTATATTAATAAATTTTACACTTGATTGTTTTGATATCGTAATTAATTAAACAGGTTCTCACATGGTTTATTGATAAAAATACAAATTAATAAAAATTGCATTGATTATGAAAATCAAGCATGTATGCATTGTTCTAATAATCATATACCTAATTAATCAATGATTTATGGTTAATTGGACTGACCCAAAAACTTGATAGATGTTCATTGAACATCACTGATTTTAATGATTAAAATTGTTGGATATGTGAAGATTTTATTTAATTTGTAGAAACAGATTCTTTTAGGGTATCTAATTTTAATAGAATGCAACTGCTAGTTGGTAGTTCAAAATGAGCTTATTGTTTTTGTCTAAAGATTTGGGAAATCCTCTTTTGTTAGTGTAGTATTTTAAATATGAAATACTAGTTTAGGAGATTTACGGGATTTTCTATAGCGACACTGGAAGTGAATTTGCATCAGGGTTTTCTATAGCGACACTGAAAGTGAATTCGCATCAACATGACTAGTATTATCGATCGTCGAGAATCATAAAGCAGATGGATATTTTTTATCCACAGCTTAGATATTCTTTGGAGATGTAGAGCGTTTCCCTTATACTAGCCATTGTCAAATGTGGAAAAACTCTTTTTTCCTACGCCCATAATGATGTATTTATTCCTAACCGCTAGGGTTAAGAAGTAGGACAAACTAATAGACTAAACAGGCTAATTAGCACCCTTATGGATGTACTCGATCCAATAATTATTTCCAATAATCACTATAAAACAATTATCATCATATATTTTTCATGTTTCAATGTCTTACTTTTTAAAAAAAAATCACTTTGTATATTTAATAACTTTAATTTATACTAGATTTTGACATTATTGTACATGATATGCTAAAGATCACAAGATCCAATGACATACAATATACATTCGGTGTTTCTTTAATTCAAGATCATGTGACTCAAAAGTCTTCCTTTCTTTTTTAAAACTTCATGTCGAATCAAACTAAAATAAAATAAGACGCAAAAAGAGTTAATAAAAAGTACGTGTTAAATATAATTAAGTAAATCAACATAGATCTAATTAATTCTTTACGATTTCCACTAATCTATCACCAATAATCCATCTCTTGAAAGAAAGAAAAATGTACAACATCGATCCAAACCCTTGTGTTCCACTCGAACATATATATAATAGAGAAATTTTGAGGGGAAAAAATTAATCTATTTCAACAAAATTATTATACCTATTTATTGTCACAAATCATAATAATGGTATGTATTCATTGATTTAAAATCTTAACCCGTTACCAGATGGACTCACCCGATACACTATGCAAAAGGGGTCTAGAATCACCCCAAAAATAAAGATTAGTTCGAACATTCATGTAAATTGAACTCTGAAATTTCACGATCGTTATCATATTATTGTTATTGTTATCGGAGTCGAATCGAGCCAAGTAATGAATCAACCCTTCAAACAAAGACTCGTCATATGGAATGACTAAAGGACCAAAATTAGTAAAACCGTACTCTTCCTCTACTTGTGACAACAATTTCTTGAACATTGGATGGTTCAAGTAAGTTATAGGGACAACAAATCTCTTGAATGTGGGGCCCACCGTGACTGCCACG